AATAAGGCCATCCTCTTTTCTGTCCAACATTCATGAAGCTGATTTTTGTAGGCCCCTGAGTAAAGCGTGCATGATACCAAGATCTGACTGTAGTCTAGGTGTAAACACTCCACGCAAAACTATGTTGAAAGGGGAAAAAAGAGCTAAATGCATTGAAGCCTTGGCAGAAATAAAGTTGGCGTTCTACAACCAGTCTTGGTTTCCTACACATTGGAAGAATGAGGCTTAATAGTTGTGTTGCAAGAAGTGAAACTTTCCCATCACTCCATTCCTGGACTGGAAAAGCTCCTGTTATTGACATTTCTCTTGTCATATAGCTGTTGAATGATGGAATTGCTTTCAGAGGGAAGATGATGATAACCATCCTCACCAATATAGTACAATATAGCAGGGTGGCATTGTGAACCTGGCTTCTGGACTGGAAGCACTGCTACCCCTTACTGAGAGGCAAAGGGGTGAGGTGTGGAGAGCAAAGTTCATTGTGGGTGCAGTGGCAGAGTGACAGGAGCATTTTATTGGCCTTGTTATGCTCCCACACCTCTCCCCTCTCCCTTGCTTTCTGTGCTAGCAATGCTTGTTATTGGGAAGTCAGGTACAGAACGCCACAATGCCTTTGCCACTCCACTGACAATCAGTGTGCATGACACTTTGTGGCATATGAAAAAGCAAGTCTCTGCCCCAATAATCTTACAATGCCTTTTGTGGACTTCCTTCACTGAGGAAGTTCAGTTGTTCCACGCATTGCCAGTGATTAAATTTTGACTGCGTATGCAATTGTCTGGACCCACAAAACATAATTGCAAATGGGAGACCCAACAGTCTGCTGACTTAGGTTTCTTGTTTAAATATTTTAATTATTGGCTTGCTATGATGATTGTGTGAATGTCTTTTAAGCACTTCAGTGCTTTAACAAACTCCGTAAGCTATGATGTTTAGAAAGATACAGGATGATTTCAGTGATTACGGCAGATGCTTCCCAGTGGCCTTCTGAAAATCTGAGCTACATGATGCCACTCATTTTTCAATGAGCAACATTAATGTACAAGTTGCAGTTGTACTTAAGAAAAACATAAACAGCAACTTTCAGCTTACTGAAAGCATATACTCTGCAATTATTTGCCTTTGACCTTGCTTCTTGATAATGATACTAAAGATACAAATGCACCAAGGTTCATTGCACAGTATTAATGAAGCTAACAAATTGATTTAAGATTACAATCCTATGCTATTTATATTCTCCAGTAAAGATTTGATTCTTAATAAATATGCATGGATCTAGCTACATGTTTACAATCTTACAGACTCCCTAGAAAGCAACATTAAAATCAGTGGGTTTTACTTCTGTGTATATATACTTAGGATTGTACTGCATGGACTATAGTCGAGCTAACTGCAAGAACTCAGTTAGTGTCAATGTAGAAATATGTATTGTAGACCAATATTCCCAAATGTGCAAATGGTCAAAAGGGAAGGCTCAGACAGCTGATAATACACATCTAAGCTCACCTCAAAAGCAACTCATAATAGCATGTCTGCTGTCCTTGCTTTGAGTATATTGGCTTTCAAATTACCTTGAACTCTCTCTTACCCAGGGCATGTTTTCCAACCTTCCTATTTGTGCTGAATGAGTTGTTGCCCATCCTTGAACTAAGGGCGAGACCTCTACATGTTGGAACTGCTGAATATGGTGGAGGTATGGATATTTCAAGACCCCAGTAAAATGTAATTTTTTAAAGCGGAAAGAAACATGGTGCAAAATTATTAGAGCTCTCTACATATATATGCATGTGAAACACATATACATAGTACTGAAAGCTGTTTCTAGACTTCATTGGTTGCTGAGGCAAATCGTTAGTCAGACCCTAAAAGTCCCGGCAGTCCTTGAATCTCTCTCTTTTTTCCAGCATGTTACACTGCCATTCAGTACCTCCTAGAGTTGTACTGAGGCTTTCAGACCACATGAATACTTCGCCTACTAAACATGGTGCTTGAAAAGGATAAAAATAACGAAAGCATGCTTCCAAGTTTCACAGCTGCAAATCCAATTGTGCTTGTTTTATCATGACCATTTATCCTCCTTCAAAAGAACCATCTGTGAGAACTGAGAGGATAGACCTGTAAACATGCAAGTGTCACAAGCTGTATCATTTCAGAAATATTATGTATCTTAAGTTCAAATTTGCAGCTGAGATAGGACTACAGTCTACTCCATTTGCACACCATGGCTTTGGGAGAACTTGCTTTGAATAGAAATCTAGGAGTCATGACCACCTCAGAATCCTAGGCCAACAGACCTCAGAACAACCACACCAAATCGGGAGGAAAGGTGATTAACAGGAAGGGTTGCATACCTTTTCATGGGTATGCCCAAGATTGTATAGCAATAGGTTTTAGAAGTATTGTGCAATAATACTCCTTGTCTTTTCTGAAACAGACAATGGCATTGGGCAGGATCATCAGCCTCAGGAGCAGCCCCATATGAGATATGGGATAAGGAAACCAGAGGCCTTTCTCCTGGGCATGGTCGGCCAATCGGTGCCAAAGAAGGATAGAACTTTTTTTATGTACGCAACAACAGCAGCAAGAATACTCATCGCGAAGTATTGGAAGACACAAGATTTGCCCACCCGGGAAGAATGGCAGATGAAGTTGATGGACTACATGGAACTGGCGGAAATGACTGGCAGAATCCAAGACCAGGGAGAGGAGTTGGTGGAAGAAGACTGGAAAAAGTTTAAAGACTATCTACAGAAATATTGTAAAATTAATGAATGTTAGAAAAATGTTGAAATGAAGTTATATGGCTTTAGTAGAAATATTATAAGGAATTAAGTACAGATAGGTTAATAGAGTATTAAAGGAAAAAATAAGGTTAGAATGAGTTAAGATAATTATAGGATAGAAAGAGGAAGATGGAAAGGAATTGCTGAAATAATTAACAGAATAGGAATACAAAAAGGGAGGTGAATGAAAGATGGGATAATGAAATTGTTTGATTTATTTTATTGTCTTGTTTTATTAATTTGTTTTGTTAATTTGATATGTTGTATTGTATTGTTTTTCTTTTTCTTTTTTTCTTTTTTTTTTAAGTGTTTTTGGGGGGAAAATTATTTTTTTAAAAAGAGAGATGTGGGATAAGGGATAGCATAAAGGTAAAAAGCTAAAGGACCCCTGGGCAGTTAAGTCCAGTCAAAAGTGACTATGGGATTGCAGCGCTCATCTCGCTTCAGGCCAAGGGAGCCTTCGTTTGTCCACAGGCAGCTTTCAAGGTCATGTGGCTAGCATGACTAAAATGCTTCTGGTGCAATGGAACACACTGACAGAAACCAGAGCGCACGAAAGCACTGTTTACCTTCCCGCCGCAGTGGTACCTATTTATCTACTTGTACTGGCATGCTTTCGAACTGCTAGGTTGGCAGGAGTTGGGACAGAGTAATGGGAGCTCACCCTGTAGCGCAGATTTGAACTGCCAAGCTTCTGATTGGCAAACCCAAGAGGCTCAGTGGTTTAGACCACAGCGCCACCTGCTCCTGTGGAGATAGCATACTAGAATGTGGTCCAAGATGGAAGGACAGGCCTGGCTTCACTCACCTCAGGTTCTCAGATGTTTTTCCCATGCCACAATGGGAAATGTTATTCAGGCAGTTCTCAAGAGTGTGCCCAACAGGTGGGTTGGGTGTGGCTTAGAACAGGCAGCATGTTGTTTGAATCAGGATCATTGTTCTACGTCATGCTGACTATGCTTGCATAGCATACTCAATGGTCCTGTTTAATCCATATATGGGTCTTGTTTGTCTCATTGCCTCCTCTGCTCCCTTTGCACATATTACACAATGTTAAAATCCATGTCCAAAGTTTCAGCACAAATGTCTTTAGAATAATCGCAGCATGAGTTTTTGGGATGCTTGTAGACATATTCTGGCATTTGTCCAGTCTCTTGTGATGAATTCTCCATGACCAACAGCATAGGAACATGTCTGATTAGTGCGCTCCTTGAACTCTGTAGGAGAATGGGCATGATGTGAGGAATTCTAATCAGACATATAGCCCTGATTATTCTGCCCCGTGCAGCTATAGAACTCAGTCTTGGCAACTGCCATCAAATGGTGGCTGCTGTGCGATAGTGAAGCATTACTGCTGTACTAAATAAACATCAGAGGGATAATAAATTAACAAAGCTTAATCAAGACTTTCTATATTGACTTATTTCATAAAGGACTTATAGATAATTAATATTTCAAGGCAGATGTTGTGTTTCAGATGCAAATTTAAACATAAAAGCAGCCAAAACCCCTATATTCTAGGAGGCTGCATGCCAAGAAACTACAACAGCAAAGCTGTGTGGTGGTATCAGGTTAATTATGAACAGAAGAAGTGCTTTTTGGGGAGGGGTTGCTGTTTTACTCTTAAGAATTGCTCATTTGGAACCGATCAATACAAATTCCCTGGCTGTAGCTTCAAAATCCAAATCTATTGGCTTGCTCTTTAAATCCCTAGCAAGTTTAAACGATGAATATAACACTTTTTAAAATGGTCACATTGCACTTCTATGGGAGCATTGCCAAAGCTGTTGAGGCATCACTCTGTCGTTTGATAAGGAGTGAAAATCAAATTGAAATGTATGATTTCCTTATTTAACAGAAATGGATTTGACTAGTGCAAGGATAGGGAATGTGTGCCCTGTAGATGTTGCTGGTCTCCATCTCCTGCCAACCCCAGCCAGGTCCCCATCCCTGAATTAGGTCCTGTAGGTGAAAGTAAAATTGGGTTTATTGAGACATCTAGAAATAACTCTTCCTATTTCTCGGTGGAACGCCCTCCCATCAGGTGTCAAAGAAATATACATCTATCTGACTTTTAGAAGATGAAGGCAGCCTTGTTTGAATTTTTTTGTATTTTAATATGTTGTTTAAAACCACCCAGAGTGGCTGGGGCAACCCCGTCAGATGGTTGGCATATAAATGTTGTTGCTGTTTTTACTGTGAACACAAATAGATTGGGGCATAGCTCAGTGATAGAGCATCTGCCTTGCATGCAGAAAGTCCCACATTCAATCCCAGTAGCATCTCCATGAATGACTAGGCAATACTGAGCTAGATAGACCAAGACTAAGGCCATTTCCTATGTTCCTATGCTGTTCTTCTAAGAAAAACAACCCTAAATCCTTCCTGATTTTATAGGTCAAGTAAAGATGTACCAAATGAGAATTCACTATTCAACCTTATTTTCAAATATACTCAGTTCTGTCTGAAAATTACTGAGGTGCCTATGACTATCCTGGTTCTCATATTCACAACTTTCCTTTCAAAAGTATTATTAAGAGAGGAATGTGGAACTGTGGTACTCCAGATGTTATTGCACATCAGCCACAGAAATTGTTAGAGATGATGGTGCCCTGGAAATGAATTTTAGACTTGAATGTTGATAATGGAATTGCTACTAAAATGCAACTTCAATACATTATGACTTTCTTCCACCATTTCCTGTCACACACTAAGTTAAAGTGCAGGGCAGGGATTCTCAGAGTTTATTCTAGATTGCTTCTGACCTAGAGTGGTTGTCTTGTAACTTGGAGACATTTCCAAGGCGAAAATTTCTGGCAGAGAACCTAGCTGATTTTGTAACATCCTTTAAAACTTTTAGAAAAAGTTACTTATTTACATACCAGTTCTTAACATGTCTCATTTGAAATAAATTTTACTTATTCCCAGGTTAAATGTTCACTTTTGCAATCTTTGAGAGTATAATTCAAAGATCGTTCATGCTGATTTAATCCCATTTAACTGAAGAGCACTGGTATAATACGATCCACTTCACTGGGTCTGGCCTGCTATAAGTGAGCTATGAAAGTCAGTTGGAATGGATGAAAGGAAAAGAGTTGTTCAATGGATATTTTAAAAAGGGAGGAAAGTGTAGGCTCTGGGAGTGCTTCCGAACTGGGAGTGATGTCTCACTGCAGTACATTTTGGATGACATAAATGATTCTCAGAATCAGTGGAGAGTTAATATACATGAGACTTCTTGGCTTTTGTATTTCACATTCTCCACTTCATCAAATTGCTTTCGTTACAAGATTTGTTAGGGGGATTTCTTGTGTGTTTTGTTTATCGTCTATTTCATTTATTTAAAACACTTCCATACTGCCTTTCCTTTAAAACAAAAAAACTCAAGGTGCTTCACGGGAACAAGAGAAAATCCATTAAGATACAAGGAAGCACTAAACTCAGCAACAAGTGCAAGTCAGGTCTTTGAAGGACAGGTCTTTGACCCATAAACTGATTTCTAAATATGGCCAGCAAAGGTCTCTGGGTGAATAAATCATTTTCTAGGAGGCACCAACACAAAGCACCATTGTTGCCTGCCTTATCTCATATGGGAGATTTTTCCATAGCACAGGTAGGAAACTGTTTTTGGTTATCAGAGTGCTGGGCACCAAGTCTAGGGGGCGCTGCTGGGCATCTATGACGTAGTGAATTGAGCAGAACAAAAACCAACAAAGTGGAATGATCTAGTTTAAATCCACCACTACTGCGCTATTCTTACATATTGCATCTGCACCATAGACTTAAAGTGCTATCAGGCCCCTTTAATAGTCACGGCTTCCCCCAAAGAACCAAAACTAAATGACAAAGGGGAATTTTGCTAATGTTTGCTGTTTACTCTGTGTCTTTTGTAATCTGATGCTTGGATTCCTGAGGAAAATTATACATATTTATATTCTGTCATGAACCCAAGTACATTTCCTCTGAAAATCCAGTGATTACCCACCAGTGAAAGTCACACAGCTCTCCTGTGAAGGTTGCTGTTATGAAAAAGGAATAATAATTAAATGTGGGGATCATGTTCAGTGCAGAGCGATGGCGGAAACAACATTAGTGATTCCAAAAGCAATATTTTGCTGATTATAATAATGTGCTATCCTTGACAGTGCAATAAGATTTGTTAAACTGAGTATTTTCATTGGAGGATATTTTGCAGCAAAAGTGCAGAAGAATCTGTGTGTGATTCCAGTGCTGGCCAGAGATGGTGTAGAAGTTTTTTAATGGCTCAATTGTACTTTATTTCAATACCAACATAACTCATGGGCTTGGTCCAGGCACTTTCTTGGGGGGAATCTCCCCAGCTCTTATTGACAAAGGAGGCTTGACTGCATCCCTTTTTGATGGCTTTCTGCTAGCAGGCAAATACATGATGATGATGATGATGATGACAACAACAGGCATTTGAACTATGAACTGGCTTGAAAATATGTGGAAACTGACTGTGGTTGTTTTGATTGTATTATACTGATGTTTTACCTGCCTTGCTCTTATTTAATTAATTAATTCATTGTATTATATTGTTCTTGTGCTGTTAATGTTAGCTTCTTTGTGGAAAGGCAGGACAAAAATTTGATGCACAATAATTGAGCAACCTTTTGTGCAATGTGAGGCAGTGATTCCTGTCTAGTGATATTTCTGTGACAACAGCAAGCAGTTGTTCAACATAGCTTTACCAGAACTGGGCATCCTGATCTCCACCAATCGCGCTGGATTAGCTATTTATTTATTTATTTATTTATTTATTTGAAAACTACACCTTTCCTTACTTAATTTCAAGGAAGCACATAACATGCAACAAAAACATTTTTTAAAAAAACCCACAAAACTTAGTTTGATCATGAAAAGGTCAGGCTGAGAAACAAGAACAGCAAAGTCAACAGCAATAAAATATGTATTTTATGAACCACATAAAAAGCGCCCAAGTAAAGCAATATTGACCAGATCTTCCTTAAAATGGTGTAAACACTAGCATAAGTTAGACAAATTGTGTTCTTCCCTCAGTGACAGGCCACCGAGTCCCCCCCTTGGGAACGAGCCTGCTCTTTTAAGAGAAGTGCTGCCCCACCCTATTTAGTTTGGATTCTGTTTCAGTTTGTTAACTCATCTTGTGAATCCCATTATCAACTCCACATACCAGTTGAGTTCATAGTGACACATGCTTTATAAAGTACATCACAACTTCATCTACGGCGCACACATTGCAACATGGATAGCATGGACAAAATCTATGGGTTGTTGTTTTTTTTATCATTATCATTCAGCCAATAGTTGCCTTCTGTAATATTGCTTTTTTCAAACTCTCAGTTCTTCTGCTGAATTGGGGGAAAAACAAGTTTGCTTTCACATGGATTATAGTTCTTCAGGTTGTGGTGGATGGGAAGTTTTTAATAAGAACTTTCTTTGCTTCCCATTGGAGCACATGGGGAAAATGCCACAAGAGCATTCAAACCTTTTCCAGGCAGTAAATCTGTCATCAAAGAAAGCACGGCTGCCTACTCTTCTTATTTCCAGTGCCAGTCCTATGCTCACATACCATCTGGCAGCTTCTTCTAATTGCTATCCAGTCTTCACCGCTGGCCGGTTACTTTGCTTCTAGGTCACCTTAAGTCAACATTTTTGATGTGCCTATAAGTAGAGGTACCAAAACACTTCACTAGGAGATTGCTTCTTTTTATAGTAAACTATGAGGTTAACATTTTAAATGTCTATCTAGAAGAATGTTGCATGTTGCATTCCGAAACATTTGACCTTGAAAAGCATTATACCTCCAGCAAATCAAAGGAGGTGGACTTGAATCCAATGTTACAGAATGTGTAATATTTTCTCTGGCAGCAATGTTGCTCATAATCACTGAACACCAAGTATGGTAGTGAGGATCCCATTTCAATAGATTTATATTTATATCTCTCCACCCTGGAGCAGGATCTCCATGCCCTGACTGATGGTTACTCTGTCCATAATGGAAGAAACCTGACATCTGGGTTGTGATCGTTGAGAGATGTTAATAGGAAATCTCATTCTTTGTTGAGCAGAAAATCACTCCCTGCTACTGCCTAATTTGAAGGGTAAACTGAAAGCAAAAGTTAAGTGCCTTGATGAGTCCAGTCATTGTTTGTCAAAGCCTACTGCTATGGTCTCTGGTCTCATAAGGTCAAATAATAACGAGAAGGAAGCTTGATTGAGGGACTTTAAAATATGTATGATGTGAAGAGAGAGGTGTTTTTCTCCTTCTCAATACTAAAACATCCAATGAAGCTGAATGTTGCAAGATTCAGGGCAGACAAAAGGAAGTGTTTCTTCACAGGGTGGATAATTAAATGATGGGATTTGCTGCCACAAGATGCAGTGATGGCCACCAGCTTGTATGACTTTAAAAGAAAATTAGACAAATTCATGGAGGATGAGATTATCATTTGCTACTATTCATCCTGGCTGCATTTTTGCTTGCTTGCAGGCTTCCCAAAAGGCATCTGATTGGCCACTGTGAGAAAGGGATGATGGACCTGATGGACATTTGATCAGATACAGCAGGTCTCTAATGTTCTGACCACCCATGTGCTCCTTTTCATTTCCTGGGGCTTAATTCTGTGTCTCTATCTCTCTTTTCTCGGTAAAATATAGCCATTTTTCCAGGGGGTAACTATACTTTATATTCCCTTAAGTCCTAAAATAAGACTAGCACCATGCTATAAGTGTTTAAGGAGATAAGTTGTTTGAAGATATTATGGTTTCTAGGTTTATAGTAACAAAGGTCAGTCTAAATTGCCTGCCTTAGTTACGTGACTGTGGCCTCCTCTTAGCTGGTGTAAAACAGTAGCCTGATGGCAACTGTAAATACCTGGATTTAGGGATTGAGGATATGCATTTTCATATCCCATGCTTTTGCAAGGTTTGTAATCATTCATGTTAGAGGCTAAGCTATGGATGGATGTAGGCTTTGTACACACAGTTACAATCACCTTGTGGAGGTTAGGGACAATTCAGTGGATGAGATCCCACTTTTACTCCACACTTTCATTTTAGGCAGTTGGATGATCATGGGAGAAGGGCTATAATCTCAATTTACCCCAGGAGTAGGAAAAGTCCTGCCTATGAGGCTGGTGTAGCCCACAAGGCTACTTTTCTCACCACGGCCTCTTGCCTCACACCTGATACCAGACATGAGATTGAGTGTGGCTCAGGTAAATATGCGTCTGGATCAGTTGCATGACTGAATTCCCCACTCAATCACACAGCTGGTCCTACAGAA